TACCACCGTACGAAGCTACCGCGGCGGACGTTTCAACGATGACATATTTCATACAAAAAAACGGCACACACATCAAGAATTTCGTTAAGATTGGGTTTAACTAACCAGGTAAATTAAATAAATTAAATATTTATTTAATGTACAACTTCAAAATGTATAATTTAAATAATTATGTATACCTAAAAATGTAAAAATATTGTACAAAGACCTATGTAAAAATGTATAAAATAAATCATGTATAACTATATATGTACCTGTTATTGTTATTGTTATTCTTATACAAGGCCTACCGTACATTATAAATCATGAGTATTGTTGTACAAAAAAAAAACAGTACAGTGGGGTCGGGGCATAGTGGGGACGGAGCATAGTTGGGTCGGTGCATAGTGGTGCCGGGGAGGTCACAGGTTTACAGGAGTTTTTAAATCTGAAAGTGATAAAATCACTTTCGAAATAACGCTTCGATGCAAATCGGTAGTTAGTATTTTCAAGCCAGTACAGTCCAAACCCAGCACAGTATAAACCAGCAAAGTTAGAAAGTTTTAAATGAAGGTCCTGTATTTACAAATGAGCATCAAAGCGTTTATTTAAAAGTGATTTTATTCAATTTTATCACTTTTATTTATAATAATTCCTGCAGACCTGTGACCTCTCCGTTTCCTCATTGCTTTGATTCCATTATGCCAATACTGTACTAGTCCTCTCGGATATAATCACTTTCAAATAAACGCTTTTGAACGGATGAATAAAAATACAATTATTTTGTAAGTACCTGTAGTATTTTCGAATGTAGGTTCATTTCCCGAGCGATGGATCACAGCCAATGGTTGGTCATCTTGGGCGTCTGCTTGGCTGTCTTCTTGCTTTTTTTTTTTATCTTTTTGTTCGTCTTTTTCCTCGTCCTTGAGAAGCTATACGCCGACTTTCCTTTTGTGATAAAGCCATTTCGTAGGGTGTAGCAGTGTCAGATTTTTAGCTTCTCTGGTATCGGTGATAGCGGTGATGAGTCGACCAACTGAAATTAGGTATGGAAAAACAATTTATATAAAAACGGCAGATTTTTTAAATTGTTTGACTACTTATAAATGAATTACATAGTGAGTTATGTCCATCGGTGTGACACCATTAGCGTCAGTGTTGGCTGGTCCCAATGATGGATTCTTTTAAACACTTTTCATGGATATCCTTGAGGGTATACAATTCGGTATAATGTTCTTATGAATTGTTGTAAATCGGAGCTCTATATGAAATAAATACAATTTTCCATTATTTTTTGGAAACTCACCTATGCGCTGAGTAGTTAAAGCTGGTAAAACATTACACATTGTTTTTACTGAAAATCAAATCAAATAATATGAAAAAATCCGCAATATATTTGCCTTTACTTTAGGTTTTTTAACTGGGTTCCCACTTGATTATAGCCATTTTATATTTTTGATAAAATGTGTCTGATATATCTTAAAGAAATCTATATGGTCAAAACTAATGAAACCAATTACTAAATAAATACGTAAATAATTCTTAACAAATACTATATAAATGATATTAATAATAATATAAACATACAATCAAATAATTGGTCGACAAATGGAATTTTTTGGATAGCAGCAGTTTGTGAAAATTCTGTCGTCTTAGTCAACATAAACATACTTCGGTCGCTTTTATTTATTTGAAATATCACATTAAAAACAAAATTAAAGATACATTTTTAAAGAAATTACTTAATTATATTGAGAAAAAATAATCTTTTGAGTCGACGTTAAAGTAATGATTATAATTGTTTTATCGTCCAGGCGATTCTGATTTTTCCGTTGCTAAGCAAGTTATAAAGCGCAATATCTATATTTGGATTACCTAAATTAACAATAATACAATTTATTATTAATCGCAAAGATACAAAATATATTCAAATATATCGTTTCTATAAATTAAAAATCAAACCAATTGGGAGGACCGAAGGTCGCTTTTCCAAAAATCACCACTGCTGTTTAAACTTTGTACAAAAGATTTCGACGATGTCTGATTATTACAACATCGGATATTATTGTAAGATTTAATATTACATTTGAAAGTGTTAAGGCTATTAAGAGAGTTTAAAAGAGGGTAGGTTTTAATGAGTTTTATGTAATATTTAAGAAAAAACGGGTTTAATAAATTCCGACCGTATCAATTGTTTTCAAGTTTTTTTTGTAAAAGCTTCAGGCTACTATATTTTTTACGAATACAATTTTTTCTAAGAGTTGAAGCTATTTTGGTGGTACAAGAAACCAACTTAGACCTAAAAGCCCGATAAAATTACGCCTACTTAGAATAATGGAATTTAATTCTGTAAACATATATTTTGGTCCCATCGTCCTTTTTTCCAGATTATTATGGAAGTCGATTTTTGAATAACTGTTTTGTTTACTGAAAACTGAATACAATCTGTCCGAAAAACAGACCGCTTTCCATTCCCTAAAGTTATTAAATCTATAGCATGCAATTTTGGGTAGTTTTAGTATATTTATGTAGTTCTTTTCTACCTTCTGTATCCTTAGAGCTCTCAGGAACTATGCAATATTATCTTCCACATTTTACTCCAAGGACATTTTTCTGGTATTTTTTAGTCAAATTTTTTGTGAAAACGCTTAGTTTAAACTCGTGAATAACTGAATTAATATTGTTTTAAACAAAAACACGCTGTGTTGTTGTCAAGTATTAATAAGAAAAAAGGCTGTATAGTTGTTACCTAGCAACGCGACCATAGATATTTTTCTATACAATATTGTCTGGTATAGATTTTAATTCCATTCAAAATCTTACTTGAACGTACAAAAGCTTAAACATTTAGACATATTAGCAATGCCTTTATTGCGAGTGAAGGGGTGGGAGTATTCTATAGGGTTGATCACACGGAGATAAACACTAATTGTTAGTTCTCATCTTAAATTTCTATACAAAATATTATACATTTAATCATTGCATTATGCGTGTGAAAAGGGGTATAATAAGGGGTTTCTCTACTTTATACTAAACAAATACTGTACAAATAATAATAAATCAATATGTAACCCCCCAAAAGTACCAACTAGATAAATTTGTGATTTATAGAGTTGCTACTCGAAGGAATTGGTCCAGTTATTAAAAAAGTCACAGTGTATAAAGACACAAAAAAAGCCCAGATCATTGTAAAACCAATAGCATCTCTGGTCCGCATCCAAAATAAAATCTTAAAACTGACTACGGTCAAATTCAATTTCGATATTCTATTGAATTTTAAATAAATTGATGTGTATTATTTAACCTTATATTTTGTTTTACCATAGGTTTTTTTTTATTATTAAAATGTAAATATTACAGTTAATTTTAAACAACGTAAAATTACAAACTCATATCGTACCGATTGTGGTACTGATATTCTGGTTTGACTATGAATCATTTCTGCTTTTCTATAAAAAAAAAACTTGAGTACTGTAATGACAGTTATACAAGCATAGAGATAATTTTAGTATTTATTTGAACAAAATTTGTTCAATAGTCTAGACTCTAGATAAACTATAAAAACAACCAGTCAAAAAAAAATTCCGTAGGCCGTACGCGCACATCGTATTGATTTAGGTAATTATGACTTCATTGCCCCCGATGAAAATTCAAGTCCTTAGCTCTAAAGATTTCTTTTTTATTTATCATGGTATCGCTCAGACTAAGAGAAGGACGCTCTTTTGCTTTGCTTCCCTCCCAGCCCGACATCATTTATTTTGAAAATTGATAAACTACAACTAAATTAATATTTACAAAAGACCCGCGAGGGGCGGTCGCATACATACTTACTTCCACCGCATGGAAATTTTTTTTTTTTCCTTGACCTAATTTTTTTATGAGGGACAACTACCGGTTGTTTTTGTCTTCCTCTCAGCCTTTTCCCGTTCCATCATGACGCGTTTGGTGTAGCCCGAGATTAGCTGCCACGATTCCCTAAATTAAATAATTTTCTCCACGAGCCCGTCCAACTTCAGCTCTTCCAAATGCCACAAATGTCCGGAGTGGTACCACACTGGGCGCACTTGTCATTGTCAGTGAGGCTGTATCGGAATAAATAGCTCCCAAATGCAATCATGACCTGTTAGATGGAAATTGACTTCACCGTGTCTCCTAGTGACCAATCTGGTAACGTCAGCGATCAAACGATACGTCCATCGTCCCTTGTCGGTAACACTGTTTGTCACCATTTTCCCAGCACGTTGGCCATTTTCAAAACCTAACCTAACCTAATGGGTTAAGAGTAGAACCTTCTCTGAACCCATATTGACTATCTACCAGCTGCATATGGGCCCTTATCCGCCGAATCTGCATCTCCTCAAACAACTTGCCCACCGTATCCAACGAAAAAATAAGGCGATACGACGAGGGCTTATCCAAGGGCACAAGTTGTGCTAGCTTTCACCGATTCGGATAATTAGCCTCACGCTAGAAAATTCTATATGAGTATTTACAAACACAATAGTCGCTCCCCAGTTTTTTGTACCCCAACGGGTCAGATGGGCACCCGGGGCAAATTGTCACCAACGCTTACTCCTTTATTTGATTTGTTGGTCACATAGATGAAAAAAAAACAAAAATAGGTCTCCATATGCCGGATGTAAGGCAGCAGTGTGTAGGGTGACGGAACAGTGTTATCCGACTTTAAGACCGAGGGGCAATACGAAAATGGGTTTTAATAGATAAAAGCTCACACTATGCAACACTTGGGCACTAATTTATCTGACACACTATAATAGATTTTGTCGCGTTACATACATAAGCAATAAATGTTTTTATAATCGTGATTATTACTGTTTACTAAAAAGTGTTTAATATTATATACATATTTATTGACAGTTTGGTTATTAGTGAGATATGCAATAATTATTTGAATACAATAACGATTGTACTGTAAAATAAGTACTCCTAGTGATTCCTGGACGATATTATAATATTAACTGATCAGAAAGTGGCTGTAATAAAGAATTTTCAGGGTCTACTGGATTTGCTTCCCAAATTATGCTTCCAATGTTTCTGTATATGTTAAAACTTATGTCTACACATATTACAACACAAAATCCTCTATCGTTAATAACAGCCGTATCTATGTATGAACTTGGGTATTTTATACTTCTAAACGCTCCTATCAAACGACAAATCTTGGAAAATTTTGTAAAACTTTGATCGTCTTCTCCTTCTTTTAACTTTCCTTAAAAAAAAAAATTACCGAAATTAACTAGTTAGTTAATTATTTTCTTTATTTGCAAGACACAACATACACAAGTGTATAACAGTGGCGTAGTTATGTAGGGGGGGGGGATATTAATCATTTTCGTAGTTCTCGACTTCTTTTAAAATTATGTTCCTGTTACCTAAAACGTACTTATTGTACCTTGTAGCTCTACGTTTACTCAAAAATGCATCTATCCCCCAGAACAAAATCATAACTACGCCACTGGTATATACAAATAACTCACAGTGAAATAATAAGCATATTACTTAGTTTTAATCTAGTTTCATCGATGGACAAAACAATAAACACACACAGACATGGTATTATTTTATTCAAGAGAAGTACGAGCAAGGTGGATTATAACTCCAGTAGGTATAAAATAATTGAAAACCAGGCATTAGTCATTCTGATAAATTCGTTTGCAAGGCAAAAGTTTCATAAACTGCAGTCAACAATGGGAACCATTCAGTTGAAAGGAAAGCTGGACCAATAGAGATTATTCATTGAGGGAGGGTGTTTAAATAGCAATACATATTTTATGCATAAAAAATAGTAAAAAAATGTTTATTTACTTAACACAGAACGGATTAAAGTTGTAATAGCTTCTAGAGTGATAACTCTTCTTGCACATCCTAAATCTTGGAGAGTAACACCTTCAAAATCTCCTTAATATCAAGGAATAAAAAAAAATTAGTTGATCGAAATAGAGTTGCATTATCGCTCTTAAAGGAACTGTAACGCTGCCAATTTTTCTGCAACTTGACGTTAATGTTAAAGATTCTTTATGAAGTCTAAATTCTGGCAACAAGACAGCTCCTTCGTTACATGCCTATCATTTGTGTTTGAATCGCTATTGAGTAAGCAGGTTTTAGAATTGAACGTAGCAGCTGTGGCCAAGTTCATTCACTCATCACGTTTATAGAAGGGTAAAAAAAGAAGGCCTAAATATAATAATAGATCACTGCATAATAATAGCCTTTGACACAGTTTAGAGAACATACTCAAATTTTATGATAGCCAAATCACGCAAAGCTCTTTTCCAAACCCTAAACAGTATGCACAGTTATACAATTCGTAATATTCCATGGCAACGAATCTAGCGGGAAATGTAGATAAATAACGGCCTAGCGCGAGGTTCAGTTCTCTAAAGTTAAGCTTTCTAAAGTTTTAACGTGTAAAATTGCGATTTACCACGCAAAACCTCCGAGAAATTCATATACAATTATAATTACCTTCGTTTATCTCAGGTATTCCGATATCTAAAATCAAAATAAATGAATATTAAGTAATAGTAAGGCTGAAAAACTATTTTCTTTAAAATATTTTAGCTGCGACGCAGAGTTGAATGGTATTGTTTTTTCAATGATGTGTTTTTATTTTTGCGTCTGGACCCGCGATATGAGCCGATGAAAATGAAAGTGGCGTAGGTCAAATTTAAGTCGTTATGAGCAGTAGAAGGGTTTGCGTTTTGTGTTTCACACAAACACGGTAACTAACGGAATTTTAGGTGGCGCTCTCTGGCGGAAAAAAGCTCAACTGTACTTACTCCACTGACTAAATGACTCTTTTAGAGTATACTAATATGCCCTAGCGATATTGCGATTTTTTTTTTTTTAATTTTGACTTACGTCACCTTCATTCTCACAGGCTCGTATATTTTAAACTGTTTAGCCGAATTCTCCGATATTATTTTCTCCAAAATCTATCGTCAAACTTTTTTTTTTATTTAGGAAAACCCCAAAAAAGGGGAAAATTACAGTTCAACCGTATTCATTTTCAAGGTTGCTATGTCCATATTCGAAAATCTACTACAACGTGTTCAAGCTTGAATCGTCTGCCATTTCACGGGCATCGCAACAACAACAAACGTAGCGTTACAATGGTCAACTATAGGAGTCATTCAGTTTAAGTATTTGAATTACTTGTTGACTGTGAAAGTGTAATTTCGGTAAATTGTTTGCGGTTTGTCAATGTTTATCGTTAGTACTATGATTAAGGACTACTTCGTACAAATTTACATACTCAAGACAGACCATAAACTCAGTGAGATCATGCAAATGCATATAATTCTGGTTTCTAATTATGACTACCTTGATCGAATTTTTATTATTTTCATTTAGATTAACAAAATTAAATTTGTGGTGGTCAAATATTCTACGCTCTATACGGGAAAGTATATAAACCAAAACAAGCTTCACCCTCGACACAGTTCAGTTTCAGATTTCCACTCGCGACGTTGTTCTCTTGTGTGCACTTTACGACATATATGTGATATATTTTTGTACTTAACAGTTTTACTTTTGTATAATTATTTATTACTTAGAGTAAAAAACATCATTACTCATTAAACATCCGAGTTGTTAAATCATTAATTTAATTGGCAAACATTTTATATTTACGGGTTTTATCACATATTTCAAGTTGCAAATGAATCTGGTCTTGTAACATTACTAAAATACAAAAACAAAATTGTGATGTACATCGTTTTCATATTATGATGGAAATCTTTATGTAAGTAAATAATTATTCTCAATATATATGAATATTTTACTTTTTATGTGTCCATACGCCATTTCTGAAATAAAAATAAAAAACATGATATACTATGAATATTAATTAACTATAGTAAAAAATGTCCATAAAATTTTAAGCTGGTAAGTAATTTTAATGTACTGGCCAATTCGTTTTTGTCGATATTGACAAACACCCTCATTCAGACAGTATATATTTAAGTGAGATAAACACTTTCTTGCTTAATCATAGTTAATGTTGTCTCGGTATAATGTATCCGGAATCAAAAGCTATATTGATGCGTAAATCGCGTAATCGTAAAGGCAAAAACCTAGTTATTTTAGACACATCCATGATCCTATGTATCGGCTTGTACAATGGATATTTTAATTTTTTAATATTAAAATTTTATTTTATAGTAGTAAATTATACTAGTATTATAATAGTAAATTTATAATAGTTATTATAAATTTGAAAATAGAATAACTTTTGTTGCAATTTTTTATATAATTTTCAAAACGTGTAATTTTTACTAGCAAGCTTTTTAATATTATTTATTGTATAACAATTATTATAATTATTGATTACCCATCTTATATGGTCCAAGAACATATTTTTCAATTAATAGCGGCATGTATTCTAGAATAATCAAATTTTGGTTTTAGTTATAAAATAAGTAAGAACAAAATTAATCGATAAAATGGGTTAAATACTTATAAGAAATGAATAACAAGTGTATAAAAATCTTAACTAAAGAAATAATACGTCCATTACAACTACACTACAGATAAGATAAAATTAGATATTGCACTTCCTAAACACTCTAAAACACACCTCAAATGCCTGTTACCAGTGATAGAAAAAAAAGTCTCTATAAGAAATCATTGTTTTATAAATACGCGTTCGCTGAGTTTATTGATTCTTATCATCGATGTATTATAAAAATTATCTGTTAACATAAGATTTTAACAGATAATTTTATAATGTATATATTATAAATCATTATGCCATAATGTGTATCATATGTTATAACTTATAAATCAAACAACTTGCTTTTATTTTTTTTAAAACCTATAGCATCTCAAATGTTAAGAACGTTTAAACAAAAGAAAAGAATAAAAAAGAAATTAACTTACAAACTGAAATAAGCTGTTGGCACGTAACCGTACGTCATGTATTTTAAACGATTGTCATTTAACGCTATCTTATCTTGTTATATTAAATAGTGACTACCTATAGCCATATTAATTAAAATTAAATTATAGAAACTATTTCTTTGAGTATAAAAATAATTAATTTTATTTAGATGAACTTTATATCTACACTTTTTTTTAAAACAATGGTACTTATTCCATTCTAACTTAAACAGATTATAGAAACTATAATTTTTAATTATTAAAAAATAATTAATTAATTAACCAGACAAACATCTCAAACACATTATACAAAATTATTTTAATTTTAAATAAATTTTACTTCTTGCCAGTTCGATGTGTCGATCTGTAAAAAATTATAAAAATATAATAAAATTCAAAAAACGTTTGATTTAAAGTAAATATTTACTGACTTGTTCTAATAACCTCTATAGTATATTCATCTGTAAAAAAAATTTGAATATTGAGTTTTTTTTAAAGATATATACTTCTTCATGTAAGTTAGTGTTAAAATGAACTAATCACCTAATTCAGCTACCAATATATTTACTAAGGTAAACGGTATTAAAATACATAGAGGTTTCATTTTTATCTGCAAGAATAACACAAAACAATTAATGTTCGTATATTATATTCAATAACCATTTAAAACTCTAATGTGAAACTGAGATCCTAAAATAATGGTATCTTATGTTCCACATATTAATTTAAAAATGTAGTTACAAAATATCATAAACACTGTAACTGTACATTATATGTGTAAATTCGTTAATATACACTTGTGATTTAAAGAAATTGACTTAGCGGTCAAAAAGTTATCTCTGGCTGACAAAATAAATAAATTAATCTTAAAACTTATTAATCTGCAAAATGAATGTACTTACAATCTTAGTAGGTGGTTAGTATAACTTGATTGATCCAGCGAAATCACAGAAGTTATAAGCAAAATAATAACTCTATCAGTTTGTTAAAATGTTTTAAAGTGTTTTTCTTACAATTGATGCATGGTATTTTATGTCGACCAAAAAAGTTAAGTCTTAATATATTTTTCAGATTGCCTATGTTAATTTATTTACATAGCTGTTTTTGTTTTATATAATTGCATATTTACATGACTCTGACGCTAGTTAAGATATTTGCTTCTTAGTATCTATAACATATACCATTTTTCGACTTTTTTTTTTTTTTTTAAAGGAAAAAAAGACAATCACAATTCCTGGCATAATAATTTTGATTATTTAATTTTACGTTTTTTTACTCAAAGGAGTTCCAAATTTGTATTGTTTTTTTTTTGTTTTTGTACTTTAGTTCTGAAAGCAAGACAAGTTTCACATTATGATCGACTGTAGAAAATGTAATAATATAATTACTGCTTATTATTTACTTATGTGAATTCAACTGTCAATAATTAAATGCTTTACTACACGTGTGCACAATAAAATGCTATTATTTATTTCAGAAAACCAATATGTATTATTATGACTATTATGAAAAAATGTGTGTACAACGTTAAATTAATCACAAAGCATTGCAGCTATGTACCAAAAACTAATAAAGGAACTTAAAAGAGTATATGGCTTTCTAAAATAAGTATTAAACAATTTAAATTTCACACAAAGTATACAAAACTATAATAACAGAAGCCAGTATACTGGGGATAGAGCTTATATTTTGTAGAATATTGGGAGGTCCC